GAGAGAGAGAGAGAGAGAGAGAGAGGCAAAAAGAGGTAAATAAGAGCCACAATTGAAATTTGATGATCTAGTAATTTAGCCATACTGTTGATTATGCTGAAAGGAATTTAACTCCTTTATTAGGCTTTGGTTGCTGCTGTGAAGGAATACTAACTGATAAGAATGTCTCTGTGGTTATGAAGAGCACTACACATGACCTGATTTGGATTAAATGTTAGAAAATCTTGGATAAGAAAGTAATCCTCAGAGTAGGCTGCAATCACATGCTACTGAGGTGATACTGACATAGAAATTCTGTCACCCCCTCATTTGTCTGAAACCTCAGTGTTACCAGTTAGTCACACAGTTGGATACTGGCATTTAATCTCCAAAGTAGCCTGTCTCTGTATAAACTAAATTATTGATAAATAACAATGTCTTTGAACAAGTCCAACATTATAATAATTAAGAGAAAAGATCCTTTATCCACAGTAGTCATCTCTGGAAATTTGGGGACATTTGTACATTTTCCGGAGAGTCATTTATATACATATACATACATATATATATATATATGTGAAAATGGCAAGACTTAATGCAAGATTCACAATAGCATTTGCCTCAAATTCTCATTATATACATTGTCAAATTCTCCCTTTCCTTCATCATCTTGGATTTTCATACTCAATAATATATTTCAACTTCACTATTATATTTTAATTTCTTCTTATTGTTTTCAAGACAACATGTGACTTGATTATGTAGAACAAGAGCAAGTTTTTGCCCATTGAATTCATTACAAAACACATTAGTCTCAGGACTGGTTATGTATTTCCACTCATTTTTCTTTAATAAAATAAAAATAAAATGAAGTACACTAAAATAGGAAAACGTCACACAAAGATGGCCTGTAGATGAAGCCAATCACACTCCCAAACCAGAATGGAGGCTCTTTTCCATGCAGTTCTTAGCTGTGACCACCAGTGGATCTAGGGAAAACTGGAGTATCCCCCAATGCATAATACATGGGGGGTGTTGATTATTAATAGGCTAACATAGCAGGTCATAGTAGATTGTACTGTAGCCATGAGATGAGGATAAGATCCTGAATCCCCAGGATTCTAATAACTATGCAACTCTATAAGTGCACATTTAAAAAATTGGATCAAAAAGGATGCATCATTGAAAAAATTGCTCTTGTGTACAAAAAATGTTAAAAAGTCTTGAGTTGGTTCATTTCTTTTGAATTTTTTTGTTTTATATTTTTTTTCTAATGAATGTGTGTTACTTCTATGTCCAAATTGGACTTGTAAGAAAAAAATGTTCCTAGTGAAAATTTTATAGTTCCACTCAAAAATTTTATTGTTTGAGTGTGTCAGTCATAAAATGAGCATAGCTCTAGAAATATTTTTACCCTCCACCATCAAAACTTCTGGATTCATCATTTGAATATATAATTCTCTGACAGTTTATGTAACTGTGTCAATGTGAGAAGTTAGCAAATGGAGTTTGACAAAAACTTAGAGTATCACAGGAGAAGATCAGTATGCTCTTAAATATGGAGCATCTAGGAGAAAAACAAACAAAAATTTCTGTCTAATTCTTTCCAAATTAATCCTTGAACTTTTGTCCTTGGAATTATGCCAAGCAGCCTTCATTGGAAATGGCTCCCTGAGGGTGACCAAATGGTGCAGTTTCCCACATGTCATATATATAAGGATCCCTGAAATTACCAGCCTTGGAGGGGAGGCATGAACTGCTCTGATTATTTTTACAGTTTCCCTCTATAATGCTCTACAGACAAAACTTCTTGATAAATTTTGCAGTTCATTACAATATGAACAACATTTCTACTGTGGTATAGTAAACTTCAGAGTGAAAAATGAATACATAAGAACATAAAGTAAAATAACATCAGAAATATAAATATTATACCAATGAAACTTTCAACTCTTGAAATTTAAATTTTACAATTTTACAAGCAGATATTATTGGAAGAAGGTATTTTTCAGCTTTCATCTCACAGTAAGTAGCATTCTTAAAATCGGAAGGAATTACACCAGATAAAATAAAATGGGAATTTTATTGGACTAATATGCGTGCATACACACATTATTTAAACCTTACTATGAATACTGTTATGATTTGCAAAGCAGTAATATATAATTGGAGGAAACAAATTATGCAAGCAATGTACATTTCCTGAAAATGTAATTTATGCAAGAAAATTGATTTTCAGTAGAGGTTAAGAAAATATATCAATATCCTTATTGCCTTTACTCTCTCCAAAATAGATGGAGAAAATTTATTTGGTGGAAAGAAAAGAGTTTATTCCTAGATAATTCACAGAAGACAGAAGGGTGCCCTTTGACATCAGAGTTCTATCTCTGAGTTTTGAGGGGCAAGGGCTTTTATGTCAAAGTCACCCCAGGCTCCCTTCCTCCCTTGTCCAGATTAAACCAGACCTTAAATTCCTGGAGTTGTATCTAAATATTCTTTTCAGAGGGACACAATATTTTTGTGTCAGATCATTGCTTTTCACTAAAATTGCTGAGGGAAGGACAGGAAGGGGTTCCTTTTCCTGCTCGTGGCCAGAAGATGTGGGAGAAGTAGCCAATGTTTAAAATCCTAATGAGTAAAGAAGTATTTTACTCTCTTGGTTCCCACATCTTTAGGAATTTGACATTCTATATGCCCCACAATCTTACTGTGCCTCAGCAAAGTCCCAAGACTAGAATTATTTCAATTAGTATGGAAAATCATTGGGAATTAAAACACAGGAAATAATACATAAAATTGATTTTAGAATAAATAGTTATGTATTCTTACTCAGATTTGCTAAAACTACTTATGCCAGAAGCACAATAATATAAGCATATTCTCTGGTGTGAAAATATCTTGGTAGAATCACAATGTCAACATGTAATTGCTCTGATTCTACATTAGCAAAATTGTGTGCCCTTTTTCTGCACTAAAATATGTGGGAACAAGGACCTGTGGTACAATATTTTCATGAGAATTACATGTGTTAATGAAGGAAAGGGTTTGCAGTAGTTTCTGGTTCATTCTGAACACAAGATGTAACCTTTGAACAAAATAGAATCAAATGACAATATATTCCCATAGCTATACATAACAAGTAAATATTCTTGCTCATATTCTGTATAGTTGTTATCAATGAATGGAAAAATCACAATAATTATAAAAATGGTACTCATAAAAATAAAATCTTTTTTTGCAGTCAAGCTAAGTGTCAACATTGATTATTCAACCATTAGTGCAGCAGAGCACCATGGGTAGAAGGAACTCCACCAATGTTCCTGGCTTCATCCTCATGGGGCTGACAGACTCTGCAGAGATACAGCTGGTCCTTTCCTTGCTCTTTCTCCTGCTTTACCTAATCACAGTGGTGGGAAATGTGGGGATGATATTGATCATTCACCTTGATCCCCAGCTTCACACTCCCATGTACTTTTTTCTCACTCACCTGTCATTTCTTGACCTCAGCTACTCAAGTGTCATCACCCCTAAAACCTTTCAGAACTTACTGTCTTCCACCAAAAGCATCTCCTTCCTGGGCTGCTTCACCCAAATGTACTTTTTTGTTATCTTTGTTGCTGCCGAATGTTTCCTCCTCTCTTCCATGGCCTATGATCGCTATGTAGCTATCTGCAAGCCCCTGCACTATCCAGTAATTATGTCCACAAGACTTTGCCACACATTGCTTACTGGTTCTTATGTGATTGGCTTTGTGGATTCCACTGTCAATGTGGTTTTCATGAGCAGACTGCATTTCTGCAAGTCTAATGTCATTCAGCACTTTTTCTGTGACATATCTCCAATTTTAACCCTGTCTTGCAGTGATACATTTGAGGTTGAACTCATCTTATTCATCTGTGCTGGATCCAATTTAGTGCTGTCCCTCATTATCATATCTGGATCCTATGTGTCCATCCTCTCAACTATCCTGAAAATTAATTCCACTGCTGGAAAGAAAAAAGCCTTCTCTACCTGTGCCTCCCATCTCCTGGGAGTCACCATCTTCTACAGCACTATGATTTTTACTTACCTCAAACCGAAGACATCCTACTCCTTGGGAAAGGATCAGGTGGCATCCGTATTTTACACAGTTGTTATTCCCATGCTGAATCCTCTCATTTACAGTCTCAGAAACAAGGAGGTGAAAAGTGCCATTGTTAGAATCCTGCAGAAGACAGAGAGCTGCAGGAAATTACAATAACAGTGGCACTAAGCATTTACACTTGTCCACTTTTTTTTTTTCCCTGGGGAATTCTTTGGTCTCATTCTGTAAATAGCTGATACTTTTCCTCTCCATTTACCCTTGATTTAAGCATATACATTTCAAAGGGCATGATTTTACAAATTCATATTGTAATTTTCAGTCTGTATTGTGTTAAAAATGTGATGTAATAAACCTGTGATTTGAAGGCAAATATTGTGCAAAATAAGAAATTATTGTAATTTAAAAACTATATTATATAGTATCTGTGCATACTTCAATGATAGAGAATTTAAAATGAAAAAGCACTACAAGTTCCAGAAATCATTCTGTCTATAGAGATTAACAGCAGAAGGTTTGGAGCACTGGCTTTCAAATAAAGATTGCAGCATTCAGATCCTAGGTCTGGTGCATTTCAACTTCCATGAATTAACTGCACTGCAAAGGTCCAGTATTCCCACCTGCACAAATTTTGCAGTAATTCCATGTCCTTCTAAGCAGAAGATGGATGCGAACCTTTTCAGGCAATAACAATAAATGCTGGCAATTATGGTGAGAGGAATTACAGCCCTATAATATTTCCATATTTCTGAACAGTATTCCTTATGAAACTCTATATAACTCAATTTAATTTACAAACAAACAGCAAAAAGAAAAACTAAGGCAGGAATTATTGATTTTGAATTCTAAATAAAGTAATATATCAAATTAGAGTGAAATTATAGGAAAGTGATATATCTTAATGTTCAAGGCAATTTGGAAAATAATTATTAAAGAAGAGAAATTCTATTTCCATTTTCACTGTTTTGTACATTTTTTTATGTCCTTGCTTATGAATATGTCTATATGTTTTTATATAATTCTTGTCATTTCTTGTGCTATCTTTGCTGGTTTTCTTTACTTACTTTAAATTTTAATATCTAATAATCTCTGTATAATTAAGACTTTCAGATTTACAAGTACTCAGTATAGGAGCACAATTGCCACTCTCATTGTGTAGTGCTGGATCCTGAAATGGTGTGAATTTAATCAGTGAGAAATAGTAGCTGTTAGTTGTCATCCTTTGAGCCATGTGGATACCAAACCTTTCTGTGACATGACAAGGGGTTTCAGCTGCCATCTTCTTTGCCTTTCTCCTCATGACTTTGGGTGTGTAGTTTTCTCAAAAAATAAATTAATCATTCTCTTGTTTGCCTCATGTGTTACACTTTTTAGATAGAGCTGATTTAAATGAAAGATTCAGCAATGAATTTAGAATATGTGAAACTCTATACGCTTAGATCAAGAAGAGATATAAAAATCTCCATATTGCTAAAAATATTTCTCCCAACATTTATAATTGTCATTTAAACTTTCTCTTAGCTATTTTAAAGTTATTGTATAATAAATAGCTCCATTTTGCAAGTAAGCTATTTAATCTTGAGTAACAATTATTATACTGATTATTTGACTCTAAACTTGTGATAATAAAAATTGTCTATTGTTTGAAATTAAAGTTATATTTTGTAAGCATATATTGCAATAGTTTAGATGCCTAAAGTGCAACATCTCTGCTTTTAGGTTTGTTTTATCAGTGTTTTCATAATTTAAAACTGTTAAGTGAATTTACCAAAATATTTAAAAATATACTATATTACTCAAATTTTCAAATCAATGACAAAATTATGACTTTACTTATAATTATATTGGTGAAAATCATTAGTTTTTTCCTTTGATATCTATATTTTCTAAAATCTATATTTGTAGTTATTCCTGATTGTCTTTCTTTGTTATCATCTTTAAGAATTTAATAAATATTTTGGTTCAATATATAGTTTGGGCTCTTCTCTCATTACATGAATGTCTTAGTGATTTCAGATATTCACAGGCTATTTCTCCTCTCTGGTTATTTTTTTCTCATTAAACTTTGTTTTAAGGGTCTCAAAATTCTGATTTTTGGTCAAGTTTTTTCCACTAAAAAGTGATTTTAAAAACTAATAACTTAAAATTGTCACACACAAAAAGAAAACAAATGGTCCACAAAACACATTCTCCTTTCCTCCTGAAGGTTTTATGATGCAGTATTATCAGTAAACCAGTCTTTTACCATTAAACTTAAATGGCCAATTGGGACAAACAGTTCTGAGATTGGTCTTCCTCCACTGATTAAAACTTTGGTGGCAGGTGTTAGGGATGATACTCATTTAGCCTCCTGAGCTTTCTGGGCAGACTTAGTGACCTTGCCAAAAGTTCCAAAAGCCTTCTTGTCCACTCCTTTGGTGACACCCACAGCAATTGTCTGTCTCATATTGCAAACAGTAAAGTGACCCAGAGGTGGATAGTCAGGGAAGCTCTCACACATGGACTTGCCTGAAACCATGTCAATGATGGCAACATCAACAGATTTCAAGAATTTGGGGCCATCTTCCAGCTTCTTACCAGACCATCAATCTTTTTTTTCAGCTCAGCAAATTTGCAAGAAATGTGAGCTGTATGGAAATCCAGTACAGGAGCATAGCCAGCACTGATCTGGCTTGGATGGTTCAGGATAAACACATGAGCAGTGAAACCAGCTGCTTCCATTGGTGGGTCATTTTTGCTGTCACCAGCAACATTGCCAGAATGAACATCTTTGACAGATATGTTCTTGATGTTGAAGCCCACAATGTCAACAGGAAGAGCTTCACTCAAAGCCTCATAGTGCATTTCAACAGACTTTACTTCAGTTGTGACATTGACTGGTGTGAATGTGACCTCCATGCCAGGTTTGAGAACACCAGTCTCCACTCTGCCCATATTCACAGGCTATTTCTCCTCTCCAGTTATTTTTTAAAAAGGTATAGTTTTACCTTATTTCATTTATGTGTACTTTATGGTGCAGAAAATATATTTTCAGTTTTTCTTGTATCAGTTTTTGTTGACAGAATGTATGACTTTGTAGACAACATTCAAGTTAAAGAAATTCTTTAATTTTAATTAAATTAGGCTAAGTCATTTTCTTTATTATATAGTGAGGAAAGCATTTATATTGTTATCACATGAGCATAATAGGATCTAGTGGGCTATTGATCTATTGGAGGCTTTCAGAGTACCCAGGGCAGCAAATGGACACTGGACATCCAAGGATCCAGGAGCCAGGCCTAGGAATTGAACCGTTGGGGATATGGTCTAGGGCTGTGCACAAATTATACAGACACCATGTTCTCCCCTCATCCTGGGTCCCAAGAGCAGAGGGGATGAGGGCAGCTGTGGTCCCAGCTCCCCAAGGGTAAAACTGGCAGAGGACAGAGGTTACCATGGAGGACACAGGTCAGCTTCAGACTGCCGGAAATGGCCTCTCCCACCTGGACAGAGGCTGAGAGGCAGACACAGGGAAAGACAATGTGATTTTCATGTTCTTCCTTCTATTAGGCCCTGTCCCACAGTGGAATTCTAGAGGTAATACTGGCCTCCAGTCCTGATGCCCCCACAAGGAGGCAGAATCATTGTTTGTGTTTGTGTGTGTATGTCTATTTGTGTGTGTGTATGTTTGTATAATTGTATAAGAATCAAAGCTACTATTTTTGCTGTTACCTTGTTTTGTTAGTTTCTCTCATAGCTGGAGTGTTTCATGTGTTTTTCTGTTATTCTATCAGATACACATATTTGGTAGTTTATTAATTGGGATTAAACTCCCTATAATTTTTCTCACTTTCCAATTGTATTCCCTTCCCTTCTCTTTTTCATTCCTTCTCTTCTCATACACTCTTGTAAGGATACAGGTCTGTAGGCAGGGAATGAATAGAAGTATTGTAGCAAATATAACTTACAGTGTTGTAGTTCTACATGGTATAATAGACTCAGGCCTAGAAGAATGGAGCACATAACCTGGAAGGTGGAGCCAGGTTTATTTCCCTTTCTGACTGATCAGGGACTTCTCCACAAAGCATTCAGTCCTGTCTGAACATTGTTTATATAGATTTGGTAAAAGAAGTTTGAGGATACAGTGGCAAGTCCCTTAACATTAGTTCATTAGTTAAAGTAGATACATTCAGTTTAGACAATAGGGTAGAATGGTACATTAGGATTCACTTTATTTACATATGGTGGGAAGCAGGGGTCACAGAAACTCTACTAGAACAAAGGACAATGGAGGAAAACATGTCCAGGCAAGTCTGAGTGAGATCTGGACATGTTCTAGGTGGGGGAGGGGTAGGAATTAGGAAGAGCCTTATGTTGCTACCTGGTTAGTTGCAGCACAGGCTTCTTTTGGTCAGAAATCATTTCTGTGTTCATCCCCTCCTCTTTGTGGATTACATTTGAATCTTCAACTTGTTTGGTGGTTTATGTTTTTGCATGTGTGTCAGCATTGGACCTTCAAGTTACCATCAGTTGGTATGATTATTGGATCTTAATGGAGTTATGGTGATGAGAAATAAACAATATGAACCAATTCATAAAGCATGGACCAATTGTTAATAAAATAACATGAGAATACCAAAGAGAGGTCTTAATAAAGCATCTCTCCATGTCTTCCAGTCAATGAGGACACTTTACCACTTGTCAGGGTTTTCCAGAGTCAATCTAAACAAGATAGGATAGCAAATACCAGCATAAAAGCCCAAGATTATAGCTAAGAAGAAACATCTTTGGAAAGTATTGCAGTCCTCTGGAGTAACAGTTATTAAGCCTCTGCCAAGAATAAAGGCAGTCACTATGAGGTAGACAAGAATAATGATGTCAGGGAAAGAACAAGTCTGGAAAGCCTGGCAGTGGTTCATGGGTTGAGGTTCTCAGGCTTCAGCTGTGCATTGGCCTGTCAGCATCCAGAGTGACAGGAGCAGGGCTTTGTGTTGTCTCCTCAGAGTGATCTTTAAGGGATTTCTCTTGTTGGTGTGGGCCTCCCTGGAGTTGTCATGATGGGTCTTCTTGTTTTGAGCTTAATGAATACACAGCTCTGAAACCTTAACAGCTGTGGACATTGTTCATGTTATCTGGATGGGTGGTCCATAGTTAGTATCTTCTGAGGGACCTTTGGGAAT